TTTGACAAATTTTTGCTCAAAAATTAGTTTTAAAACGAATAAAGAAACAAAATATTATCTTGCAAAATAATTGAGTTTTTACTAGCTGAGGTAATTTAATTTGTTATTTTTCATATTTTAAGAAATTTTTTGGAAAAAATTTATTGTATTTCAAAAACGTGCTTAAATATTTGAAAAAGTTAGAAATAACACAATTTTTTTTGGTACATTTTCGGCTTGTGATTGCAAAATCATTGTGTTTCTAGCTACAAAGTGTGTTAAAATACTTGAAAGAGACAAAAATTATATAATTTTTGACTTAATGTAGTGATTTTTTGCCTTATTTTAGAGAAATCTTGCAAAAAAGCTTGAGACTTTATTTGATAAATATACTTGAAAGTTTAAAAAAAGGAAAAATAACACTGTTTTCGACCAAATTTTTTGGCTTTTCTGCTCATTTTTGACTAACTTTTTCATAAAAGTGAAGCAACATCAATTTAGTTTTGTTTTTGCGTGTTTTGACAAGATCTTGCAAAATAAATGAGTTTTTGGTTTAAAAAAGAATTAAATCGAGCAAAACAAGTCATAATAATATCAATGTCGATCAAATTTTGGACAATTTTGAAGAAATTTTTTGAAAAAATGTGTTTTTATTACAAAAAAAGGCTAAAATAACATAATTTTTGGCCCAATTTGGTGAATTTTTTGTTTGATTTAACAAAATTATGCGTTTCCATCTGAAAAATGTACTAAAACACTCGAAAAAAAATTATATAATTTTTGAGTTACTGTGGGGATGGATTTTTTGCTATTTTAGAAAATTTTTGCATAAAACTGGGATTTATTTAGTTGAAAAACATGGTTGAAAAAGAAATTTTTGCTCAAAAACCAGTCAAAACAAACAAAATATAATTAATATTAATTAATATTTATATAATTTTTTTAGTCACTTTCAAAGAAATTCTTCGAAAAAATTTAATTTTCTTTATCTCAAAAACGTGTTTAATGATTTGTGTGTTATACTATTTTTTTCTATTTTGCGCTTTTTTTAACTTAGGGAATTTTGGTGACACGTAGTTGGTGACAATTCACCTCGAACTGACATTTGTTATGAATAATTGTTCAAGTTTTCTACCGAAAATTATTGAAATTGTGACCAACTTTAAAAACAAAAAATACACTAGGATGTTAACGCACCGAAACGAGTTCGTTAAAAATGAAAAAAAGAAGACTTTTTTGATTGAAATAAACCATTGCTTTTTATAATTTTGGGAATTTTAGCGACACGTAGTTGGTGACAATTTAACTCAAATTGACATTTGTCATAATTGAATTTTCCAAGTTCGCCACTGAAAATTCGGGAAATTGACAAGTTGATCAATATCAAAAACAAAAAATGCACTAAACTGTTAACCCACCCAAATGAGTTTGTTAAAGACTCAAAATAGAAGAATTTTCTTGATTAAAATGAAAAACAAATTTTTATATCTAAGGGAATTTTGGTGACACGTAGTTGGTGACAATTCAACTCGAACTGACATTTGTTATGAATAATTGTTCAAGTTTTCTACCAAAAATTATTGAAATTGTGACCAACTTTAAAAACAAAAAATACACTAGGCTGTTAACGCATCCAAACGAATTCGTTAAAGAAGAACACTTTTGATTGAAAGAAACGTTTGCTTAAATGCTTTTCTGAGATTTATACTATTTTTTCTATTTAGTGTTTTTTTATAATTTTGGGAATTTTAGTGTTCTTGACTTGACATTGTCACCAACATAAAAAAACGAGTCAAAAAACGGTTTTATTTACCAGTCATGTAGCAATTGCTCAACCACATGCTCATCCAAAACCTGGAACTGTGTTCTAGAAAAAACACCGCTTCCGGCATTGCCAACTTCTGTTCCAGTTGAAGAAAATCCCCAAACAACATCTGGCTCTGTATACACAACGAAATTAAAAAATTCTGGATTATGACACTATACAAAACAGTGAATAAAACACAAGTGACACTAATTATAATCGCTTTGAAATGTAGAGGACTCCTAAACGTGCTCTGAGTCCCGAAAGCCACAAACGCACCAAAACCTAAACCTGGACTACTCAAAGCCAGACTTATCAACCTAGTCCAGGTTTGAAAACTTGTCAAATTCTGGGTGTCAATCTGGGTGAAAAGGTAATTGAGGGTCACAAACCCGTTCTGGTCTGACAAGGGGGCAAAAAATAACACGACCATCTGGATTGTGGGTATAGTTGCAAGGACTAGGAGGAATTTTTCGGTGGTTTTGGGGCCTCCATAGTTGGCAAAAAAGACCAAAATAATCGTGACTAGTGCATAGACGACCAATTCCGGTTGTGGCCCCCCTGAAACGGTCCCAATTTACACTTTGTCGGGTTTAAATACAATAAAACCGGAAGTCTCCTCCGAGTTGAGTATCCGGTTGAAAAAAAACTGCTCCACACTCGACTCCCATTTCAATTTTTCGAGTCTCCTCGTGTAATTGTGTGAAGTGAAGCAGTTTATCTTATTCCAACTCTTGTTGCACGATTTCCATTGGGGTTCGCTCGAGAATGACAAAAAGGTGAAACAAAGAGTGCAAGTACACAGGAAGTTGTAATAAATTTGGTAGAGCAAAAACGTGAGGAAACTGCATAAGCCGATTCCGCGGAGTAAGGGACACAAGTCCCACACTCGTATCACAGCCCGGTTTGAGTACTGCCCCAAGGCCAGTTCCAGGAACATGCAAGGGATGGTTGTGAGGGACATGACCAACAGCTGGATTGGGATCAGGAGGAGGATCCCAACTTTGGTTTTCAACAGCCAAGGACTTGCCAGCTTTGGGATTGTAATCCCGGTGCTGTAACTGAACATTGCCAAGTACAACCGGAAATTTGAGCTCCACAGAGAGCTGGATTCCACCACCGAAGACATCGAGTTTGAAAATTGCGCGTCAAGTTTGACAACCGACTGTTGTGTATTACTGGTTGTCACGTTGTTGAATAATTGTGAAAAAAGTTTAATAATAGTTCAACAAAATGTTACAAAAGTTTGAAAAACCAACTCATTTATTTAGTTTAATGTTTTTTTAATTAAAAGTTGAATTTGGTATTTGTTATTACGCAATCGATTGTATTGCGGCGTATTGCTGGTTGCATAGATTAATAAATGACAAACAAGAAGCCCAAATCCACATAGTTTATTTCAGTTATTTAATTTATTAGTATGGAAAAATGTTATTAATGTTAGAAAAACTGAGTATTTTTGTAGTATTCATTTACTATTTTGCAACGACGCATTTAAAAATACTTGTCAACTTAAACACGTTTTAATTTTTGTTAGTTATTTATTGATAAAGGTCAAGTTTATTTTAGTTATTCAATTTATTAATATAGCAAAATGTCATTAATGTTTGATTGTATACATTTAAAAATAACGGTTAATTTAAACAATTTAATTATTGTTAATTGTTTATTAATAAATTAACTATTTTTGTATTTTAATAATTGTTAAATAAAGCGTAAAATTAGAAGTTTAACATATCGTATTGTTGGTTGCATAATTGATTAAAGATCTTTAAAGCGAGATGCTTTAACTTTTAATTTTTTTACCACTTTGGTTAAATAATAATAAAAACTAAAAAAACAAAATATAGTTGTAGTTTTACAACTGTTTTTTTTATAATTATATGAAATTTTTTATATGCAATTAGTTCTGCTATAGCGTATTGTTAATTGCATAAGTTGCTAAATAAGTATTAAAATAACCGTATTAATTTAAATTTTAGTCATTTGTTTGATTAATTTAATGTTAATAAAATAATTGTTGAATAAAACTAAGTGTTTAACAGTTTAGATGCAATCACCATTGTGCGACGTGTTGTTGGTTGCATAAATCGTCAACTCAAAATTGTGCTCAAACCCATTTGATTTACTAATTTGTTGATAATGTTGGACGAGCCGAGTCTTTCCAACATCACCGACCCCAATTTCGGGCGCCCCCCTGAGTCCCAAAACGTGGTAAGTGTCTCAACACGTGCTTTTTTGAGGTTATGTTGACACTATTAAAAACGTTTTTTTTGTAGCTTTTGCAACAATTGGGGCACCCCCACGTGTCCAGTTTCAACTACATGACCAACCAGGGCTTAGCCCAGGCCGTTTCCGACTTGAACCCTGTCGAATTTATGCTAAACGGGGACCGAATCACTTTGGAAATCACCGATGCTAGTCTCAGTTGCCCCTTGGTGCCCATGGGTACTGTGGGGGTGAAAACCATTAAAGTCTTTCCCTCGGAGTGCCGGCAAAGGGCCGCTACGTACAAAGGGAGGCTCATTGCAAGGGTTAAATGGGCGGTGAATGGGGAACAACAGACTGGCTTCGACAAGGACATGGGGCAACTTCCCATCATGATCAAAGTATTCTCACTATTAATTTAATTTAATTTAAGTGATTTAATTGCAGTCGAATAAGTGTCATTTGAGTGCTATGTCCCCGGAAGAGTTGGTCAAGCACGGGGAGCACGAGCAGGAATGGGGGGGCTATTTCGTGGTCAAAGGACACGAAAGACTGGTGAGGATGTTACTAATGACACGTAGGAATTACCCCATTGCGATTAAACGCTCAGGGTGGAAAATGCGGGGGTCAATTTTCTCCGATTATGGGGTTTCGATGAGGTGTGTGCGGGAGGACCAAACAGCCACAGTAATTGTGCCAAAAATTCCAATTATTTGTATTAATTGTCTTTTTCCAGACAAATGTTTTACACTTTGTTAACGATGGGAGCGCTAAATTGATGTTCAGTTACAAGAAAACTCTCTACTACGCCCCCTTGGTCCTGATTTTGAAATGTTTGTGTGTCTATTGTGACCAGTTTATTTACCAGAAGTTGATTCAGGGGTACCAACACGATTCGTATTATCTCGAGTAAGTATAAGTTGTTTTCATATTAATGTGCATCGAAGTGGTCGTTGAGATCATTTTAAGTTGGCGACCATGCGAAAATTCGAACAATTAGTGTGAAATTTCCAAATTTCACCAGATTTGGTGATTTTTATACCGGTTTAATAATTTGGTGAGATTTTTTGTAAAAATTCTAATTTCTGATTCTGTAGTTCCAACGTATTTTGAAATACCTTTTTTAATTTGATTTTTTAATTACTGATATAGTAAATTCAGTCAAAAATGATGACACTTTTTTTTAACGCTTTGTACGGTTTCTTCAGTTATGCAGAAACTCAAATACTAAATTTTCTCAAAAACAGAACTATTTTGCAAAATTTAGTTAACAACAAACCGAAAATTTATCAAATTAGGCCAAAACTACTGTTATTTTTGCATTTTTAGTGTTTTTGCTAAAAATTGGTCAAAAATAGTGTTATTTATAACTTTCTTAAGCATGTTTTTATACTAAAGCCTTATTTTTTTCCAATTTTATAGTAAAATAAATAAAAAAATTACCAAATTAATTCCAAAATTATATTATTTTTCTCTTTCTTGAGCGTTTCAACACGTTTTTCGGCCAGAAACGCAATTATTTC